TAGCCATTGGGACCGGACAGTATATGTTGACCTGGCCAGTTACACAAAATTTTATTTATATAAATTAATATTAATCTCATGCTTTTTAGCTTAAAGACCAATTTGAATTAGTTGTCTTTTGTCATTAAGCATCTATTTATAAAAATAAACAATCCACGTACAAGGCTAATAAGAATCAAGGCCGATGAAGATGCCAACAATTAAATTATAATATCATTAATTGCTTCTATTTATATTAATCTTATACTGTATCTATTTATATTAATATTTCCCGTCAGCATATTAATTTTCTAATTGTCGGACACTGACATGAGACAATTATGTCCCAGTGTCTGACCGGCTATCCGGCCACTGGTACATTAACGCATTCTATTACTTATTTAAATATTTTAATTAATAATTGTTATAAGTGGATTCAAATAATTTTTCCTTGCTTAAGGGAGTTTTGAGTTTTCAAATGAATACAAATATTTATATCAAAAAAACCTTTCTGATATTATAAATTGTACTATTTATGACAACCAACGCTTAAACGTCCGGCTATTGGTACATTTACCTTAAAGCTAAATTTGATTTTTAAAAGAGATAGGGATAAATAAACAATCGCGTGCATTTAAAAGAAAAAATGTGTCGTTGAACTAAATAAAATTATTTAAAAGAAATTGGAAAGAATAAGGACAATAGGAGTCAGGCACAGAAGACGTCGCGCAAATAATACACCCATAAAGCGTAAAACTTCTTTATTCTACTAAACGCGCTTTATTCTACGTATACATAGCGCGTTTAGTAGAATAAAGAAGTTTTACGCTTTATGGGTGTATTATTTGCGCGACGTCTTCTGCGAGTGATTCCTATTGCCCTTCTTTCCAATTTCTTTTGATTTATAAGGAGTCTTTGTTAGTTTGATTTGTTATAAAATTATTTAAATATCATAAAAAATTATTTACTTGACAAAGATACAACGACTTTGTAAGTTATCTTTCTTCATAATCAAACATTGACAGTCTGAAAATATGTAAATTAGAGAACGATCTACCTAAAGACTAGTATTAATCCAGAAGTTTATTCACCGTTAATAAAATCGATCAATGAATAACCATATACGAATTTCGGTACGAATTGCGTTTTATCAACCAATTCATACGAGGAAACTTATTTTCACCATGAGAACGTTTTATTTTTCGTGACGCACAAAAAATAGATGTTTCCGAAATAGTATTTCTATAAGCAAACTTCTCCATAGAGGAACGTGAGTTTCGAATGGAGATTTAAATGGATACTCTCATTCTGAAAACAAACCGAAACCTCGTCAACCTCTGTGTAGCTTCGACTGGATTTTTTTCCCGTAGTCGAAGTGGCGAGAGTGACAGTCTCCATTTGCGCCACCCTTAAAGTGAATGCAGTACACTCAATGGCACGTGCTTGTCGTACACTGTTTGTTTCGATAGCACGATCGTGTGATAGTGTTTGATATCAAAGTAAATCCCATAGGGCTAGAAGAGGTGGGCGCGAGTAGAGTGAGTAGGTTATGAACCCTGAAGCTGACCGGCATACGTCAATATTGTGCAAACCATGATACCAATAATAACTCAACCAATAATCGATTGCCGAGTTGTTTTTGCCGATATGGTAGTCGATACGACGAATTGACAAAACGCATGTTGAAACAGGCGGTTATGGAAAATAACAGACCCTCCGAAGAATATCGATCACTTCCGATTCTGAAGGAGATTGATTTTATACGTGTATTTCTGTCTCGTCACCGGAGAATCCATTACTTTTCTTCTATTACTTGTTTGCTCCATTAGTATTTTTCTCATACGTGTAACAAGATAGAAACACGAATAGACATAAAATTGTGAATGATGCAATGATTCATAATTTAACGTTGCGCGTATTTTCCACATGCTGCTGTAGCTTTATTCGTCCTTTTACGACAATAATAATCGTCACCAGATAAATATTCGATATTATATTATGCTGTATCAACCACAACCATATGCATAATTACAAATCAAAGGCAATTATACAACACCAATGATGTACAACAAAATGAAACGCAACATAGACTGTATATAATAGTAAGCTAATTTGTATAATATTATATGTAATAATTACAAACGTCATGTAAAAAGTAGATCGAACTTATTATTTTTTCGATATAATGAAATTATTAAGATTGCGATAGGACGGTAAAATATTATATAACAATTTTGTGATTATATACTTAATGCAATAATTTTTTATTTCATCTAATAAAAGATACGAATGATGCTTTCTAACATTGAGTAGCTTTTAAATCTTATTCTCTTCATTATCATTCTATAACATAAGTAATATTATAAAAAGATTTTATGATTAAAAATCATTGTGATCTGATCGTGAAAACGACATGTAATAAAATGTAGTGTGATAGTTAGGTGCAATCACACTCTAGAATATCATTGAGATTCGGGCAAAGAAAGTGGCGGATATTACGCGGTCCGACCAAACCCTCTTGACGACGCGCACAGTCCGCCAGCCACAATCCAACAGCTGTTACACGCTCGGACGACACCGGCGGACCAATTCCAGATACCCGGAAGATTGTTTCCAGACGACCCGCTTCCATCTCCGCCCGCATCCTCTTCAGGAACTCTTTCAGCGGATCGGGCGGTGGCGTCTGGTAGCTTTCAGGTTCGCTGCATCGGTAGATCTCTGACGAGTTTTTTAGATCGATCCAAGTAGTCATAGCCTCACAATCAATCGCTTCCCTCACGACTCTCTCCTCGCTCTCAGAGTTAAACTCGAATGCATCATCAGTTGTCTCTTGCACATCAACGCTACTAGTATCGCCATTACGTTCGATGTGATCAATGATCGAAGGAGTGACATGCTCAAACTTCGTCTCGACTGTTGACTAAACAAATATTCGACTTTTCATCATGCAAATTAATAAACGACGTATAACAGTAAAATCGCTTAAATTTCGCACACAGCAACACACAGTAAGGGAGAGTGGTCTAAATCGGACCGTGTTCCAAATAGGACCTTTTTAATTTAAATGAATACGATTAAGCAGATTTGCGTATATATAAATAATGTAAAGTCCTTATAAGATACCGAACATGTGATAGCAGTTTGACAGTTCTCTGTCATAACATTCATAAAATAGAGGCAAATATGTATTTTCAGCCATCGTGCGAAAATTTTTTTAAAAAAGAAAATCATTGTAAATTTTTCATTATTTAAAAATTTGAAAAATAATTGATTTAAGATAATTAAAGAGTGTCGAATTCAAAGATATCAAGCATTTCGTGATCACTTTTGCGATTTATTGTAAAATTTGTTCCAAAGTTCGAAAGGACTCGTGTCCAAATCGGACAGTACAGTGAATAACTTATCTCATAGGCCTGGTTGTAGTACTGGTGATCGGCTGGCCAGATCTGGTCCAACCAATTAAATCAGTAAAATATCATGAGTCATCAGACTCAGATTAGTTGAGTTTTATTAATTTCAATTCTAATAATATAAACAGTCAGTAATTTCCTTTTCCGAAAAAATTTTTATCTTTGACTGTCAAATTGCTCGTTTTTACTCAATACTAAGAAAAATACATTAAAATATTTTAAAATTCTATTTAAAAATCCATAAAAATAGGAGTTTTCGATTTGAACCAGGGGATGGTCCGATTTGGAACCAATAGTTCTAAATCGGACCGGAAAAAGCGTTTTTATATTTTCCATTATAATTTAACACAGGTGAGAGATACGTCAAAATGGTCTGAAGCAAAAATGAAGGGAATTAAATGATCTTTCTAATGGCACCTTCGATTTTACGATCGAACTTTATGTATGCCTTATAGAGAGCAAAAACTGCAAATAGGTCCGATTTAGACCACTCTCCCCTATATTCGCTGTTTAGTAAATAAATGATTAAATAAAAAAATACAAATTTTTACATATAGATTGTATTGCTCTCTCAAAAGATCTCTAAGTATTTAAAAACATCTAAACGTTACTTATTTACACGTATTATTATCATGCTCAAAGAGTACATTTATCGAGATCAAAATCTACTTTTCACAGATCGAAAATACTGGTGAGATATTTTACGACGTAATCGTCCGGTTACAAAATTCAAAGTGACTGATCGTTTTTCCGGCATTTTCCCAGCATGCCCAGCGACGTACCTCGCTCGTCCCTCCTCGGAAAACGTGACCATCAATCGATTCGATCTCAATTTCGGTTTTATCGCTGGCGACAGACTGTCTCGCCAACACTATGTCGATGTCGGAGTGCTCCGGGTCATCCCCATAATCCTTCAAGATCTCGAAGCTTTCCGAAGGTCGGTTTTCGCGAGGTGCTTTCCCACAAACATCCTCATCAGTGCTTCTCGCCTCTTCCTGATATGTGCTTGATTGAATACGAGTCGATCACCCAATAAAGCCGAAATGTCTCGAGATGTAGACAGACGGAAATTATCCGATTTAAACGTAATTTCGACAAGGCTAATAATAATGGTCCTTTGCGATGTATTCCAATTATCACATTTAATATTTAAATCAACATTCTCGTTAAAAAGTGATAAGTGTAACTGAAATTTTCATTTAACAAAATTTTATTTTATTTTAATTTCTAATACTACTAAAATTTCAACATTTAACGATGCTAATGTTATCGAAAAATTACAAAATTTCTATAAAATGTCCAATAAAATCTTCAAAAACGTTATAAACTGTTTTCAGAAGCGTACGAATACTAAAAAGATTAATATTTTATCAAATATATATTCCAATACATGTGTTTAATATTCGCGATTTAATTTACGCATGTATTTCACACAGCGTGGATTATAATCTTCTTATATTATCGCGGTGCTGCGTAAAGTCCACGATCACGATGCATTAATTCAGAAATTTCCAAGTCACTTCCGTACAAAGTTACGCAGAGTTGTTAATATTTTCCGTAATCTTCATGTGAACCGGTTAATTTTGCGCTTGCTCCGAAAAGCGAATCCGAAACGCAAATGCGTATATAAAATATGCAGCACTGCTTGTAATGAGAAGTAGTTAGCAGTCCAGAGTGGATATTGTACGGCAAAAGCAGCTTACTCCGCGCATACGCAGGCTTATTGGCAAAATTTTACTCCGAAAATTTATTAAATTTTACTCATCACGCGCGCGTTATTACATGCCTGTAATTTCCCAACTGTAACTTCCATATCACGAGTCCAACGTATATTGCGATCTATTTATTTTAGCATAATACTAAATGTATGTATCAATTTAATATTTATGCGTCAAAATAGAGAATTATTAGCATGTCATATTAATGCCTTAATTAATCAGTTATTTAAATATTGCTAAATTATGTTATAATTAATAAAGGTGAATTTGTGTCATAACGATAAAGTTTCCTTTTAAACATATACCAAATAAATGAAAATGCACCTTGTAATTATTAAATCATTATAAAATATGCAGACGTATATGAACCGTTTGCATTGTTCTCTTCAGAGAAAGACGGTCATAACTTTGTTATAATTATATCCACAAAACTACAATGTAGCGCTCGGTTAAAGTACATGTTATGTGTGCTTTAATCTAAATAGCTTCACTATGATACTTGCATGAGTTATAAATAAATGTCAAATCTGCTTGGAATCATGCTAACGTATATAAGTCAAGTCTATTTATTATTTCAACGACAAATATATGTGTGAGCTGCTTATTTCTGAGAAAATATCTTTGTGCTATATGTAATATGTATCAATCAAACACGAATTATACACGAATCATACCGAATTATTACGGAATCTTTGACAAATGTTGCTCGTTCTCGAAATTTTTTTGCATTATAAAGTTATAAGTTTCGAATTTTATGAAAACGACGCTACGTGCTCACTTCTCGTGAATTTTCTGCAAACTTTTGGGACACATTTCCTTCCAATTGACTCTTATACCCGTTTCTTAAAAACGGTTTGTGAACCCTCTGACAGAAATATTGGATGGTGGAAAAAAATAGGACATTTCAGAACTATCTCATTAAAGCTGGAGCGATTTTTTTCACAATTCCAATGATATAAAACGAAAGATTATCCCGTTAGTAAACGAGAGAGTCGCCTCTCAGATATTTTATTTAACCGAAAGAGAAATGCTGCGACTGACTGATACCTTTTCCGCTGCGAACTCGCAGCTGTGAGCTCTCGCCGTCAAATCGATCGTGCCGGACGACGACGGCTTCGAGACAGACGTTGTCGTGTCAGACGGGGAATCGACGCGCTCGGCTTTGCAACGCTCGCCACCGCAATCGAGATCCGCTAGATATCCATAGAGATCCAGGAAAATCCTCAAGGATATCATGGCCGAGCCGCCTTCCGGCTCGTACGTTAGTAGCTCGCATACGTATATCATCGTCTCGAGAAGATTCTAAAGCGGTCGTAACACAGCGTAAGTTATAACCACGACCGGACTGATGACGTTCACTTAATTTCAAATTGATGAAATTCTTTTAACATAAACTTTAAACGTAAGATATATTGCTGTATAAAAACGCAGAAAAGAAGATACATTTCGTGATTTCTGTTAAATGTAAAAATTTCAAGAGCTTTTTTTGAATTTCTAACATTATATTTTGCTGAGAGTGAAAAATCCGGACAAATATTTCATCTGTTTGTTAATAATTCTGTTTTCGTTGAAAATTTTATCTTGTATTTCTCGCAAAAGGATTAAACAATATCAATTGTAATGCATATGTAGCAAGGCATTACTACATTTTTTAATCAATCGTGATTCCGAATTGTTTTATTATCGTGAATGTCCAATACACTTAATGGCTCTTCTATTATTACTGCTATGTTAAAAGTTAAAAAGTTGACAGATGTTGTTCATATAAATTGGTATCCGGTAAATATCGCTATCACATTTTTAATTGTTCTAATTGTAACTTTCAAAGTGTAAAATTTTACAGCAACACATACTAGGCAATAATACTCCATTTTTCATTTTGTTATATAATTCTATTACTGAATATGTGTATATAATAATTCATTTATATTTTATCAATCCACAATAAATAAAAATAAATATTTTTTAAATTCAATAACAAAATTAAAGTCATAGTTGTATAGTTTAAGAAATGTATAGTTTTACAAAGAAAAAAAGATTTTCGCTGCCGCAGCTAATCTTAGTTTGTTATAATATATTTGCTGCCGTAACTATAAATTTATAAACTACAGCGAAATGGTTTGCTGTTGCTGCTATAATACCTATATTTTAGCTGTCCATATTTTACATCTGCCATTTAGTTATCACATGCAGTTTTTAGTTACGACAGCTACTTTTTTTTCCGTGTATGTTTAAGAAATTCTCGCAAATATAAAAATGTATCTTTTCACAATAACAGATATTTCCAATATACGTTATATTACAAAGCATAAAGTAACAATGATACATGCTAATGGATTGATAAAAAGCAATATTTCTGAAAAAATGCGATATTTTCATGAAAAACAAAAAACCGAGAGAAAAATCCATCATGTTTTCCAATCCCAATATCAGACACAATCGAACACGCTATAAAGAGATATTGTTCCGCCAGTGAAGCTTATAACTCACATTTCCTAAAAATCCACAGGCGACCGCGAGGAATCGATAAAAATCACAGTACTCTTTATCTTCCAATAAACCGGCAACCATGAAAAGCTGATAAAGACTCGTTTCGGGTAAATCCAACCCTTGGCAGTCCAGCAGGAGGGCTCTCAAGCAGACCTTGTTCACGTGACCGAATCTGTTGAGCAGGGTCTTCAGATAACCGGGCGTGATGCCCGAGGGGTGTATAAAGGGTGGATATTCCAATCTGTCCTATAGGGACAATATCGTGGCGGCTGAGATTATTCACGGTCAGTTACCAATCGGCCATAGTCTGGTCATCGATAATGCCCATCGCGCGTATGTATACATAATGCGCAACGTGAACCTATTACGAATTGGTTTCACCAGCACTAGACGCGCCTGTCGCGCGGCATTTCCGTCGAAACGCCTCTCGCTCCCAGAAGCACGAATTACGCTGATATTTGTCTTCAGCGCTCTCTCCCGCGTTCGTTTCCTATTCTGAAAGCAACGTACGTATACACACGTACGTTGCAAGTATTGCGCTATAAGCAGGTATCGCGTGTCAGCTGCGCGGTAACGCGATATGCCACAGATAAACGAGGAATTCCAGTTAACAATGATAACGATGACGCGTGCGCGCGTTGTTGTGAATAATAGTTGCAAATTAGATTACGCGCGCTGTAAATTAATCGGTAAAATGCACGAACGTCATGCAGGAGAGAGAGAGAGGGGGGGGGGGAAAGAGATAGTACACTGGATGTTTCATGAGAGGATACATTGATATAACTTTAGCGACGTGTAATTTGACAAAATTGAAACCAATTTCGCGTTTGCGAACATTTAAGCCATGGTATAATTGAAGAGTTATTTAACATTTAACGTCAAAAAGCTTTAGCAAAGCAAGCTTTTGAGTAAAAGATAGAATAACGTCCATTAAAGCTAATTTGAGATAAACTTTTCATTAAGAGGATAATATATATTTAATTTGTAACAAATCAAAGTTAACAAAATTCAGAATTAAATGTTTCACGAAACATTTAATATCTATAAAAATAAATTGTGCACAAATAAAAATAACGACAATCGATACGATGTTATAAAGAACTTGATTGGCTATCGAATTAATTTCGTTAACTTATGCAACAATTATATTCATTAAATTGAATTCTATGAAAAGTTTGCAAATTTGTCGATAACGCACGAATAATGATAAATGGTATCTATTAATAACGAGAATAATAATATTGTGGTTAATATGATTACAGCAGAAATAATTTACGAACATCGAATATTTAAGAATTAATATAGCTTTAATAAAATTAATTCTCACTTAATTTTCTTAAACATATTTCGATGCCAAGGATTTTAATTTTTAATTATCGATCAATTACGTTAGAGAGAATGATCGCGCGGCCCACCGGTTCGTAACTTCTCTTTAATGCTGTTATTCTACAACTAGAATTACACAAACTTATAATTACAGACATCCATCGGAAGAACGCGGATGGACGAACTCCGTAGATGAATGTGCCTCACTTTGACCTGCTTTTCGAATACTATAATAATGAATATTCGCAAGAGCGATGTAATAGATCGATTGGCGCGCATGGAATTTTCATTAATTTTTTCCTTATACAAAATATTTTTAGAAATATTTTCTAATAAGAGTATTTCTGCTGTTCGAGTTTAAAAAATGATTGAGAAAAAAGAAGTAAAAAATGGATTAATAACGACAAATAATATTGCGCAGGATGATTGTAGCGATCAAAAAAAGTTATTGCTTTCTCTTTTCTCTTTTGTATTAAATATTTACACATCTAATCTCTTTTATATTTCTTCAAGGAAAACTTGCTTTAAAGCGAGAAATAGACAATTAGAAAAATTTTCCGTGATAAAGTCCTTCCCTAAGAGAAAAATTGTTGGTACATATAACTCTGTAACTATATATTACTATAGTTATGATTATTACTGCTATAAAAATGTAGTTGAAACTATCATAAAAATGATTCGAATGACTATATAAAATTATAGTAATTTGAATCATTTTTATGGTAATTGAAACCATCTTTGTGGTTATAATAACTATAATTATAGTCATTTTAGATTATATATATTTGATGCTATTTAACTGTACATACGGTTATTATTACTAATATTATAGCAGTGATAATCATAATTACTAGTAATATGTAGTTATAGTTACAAATAGCAAACATTGTTCTCTCAGGGTATAGCGCGTAATTCCAATTTTAAAATTTCTCGAAAAGTTTAAAACCCTTATGTTGGTTTTTTCAAAGCTAAGTTTTCCCCATAATATAAAATTGCGCATGTTGCACGATGAATAATGGATCCAAGGGAAGGTAATACGAATAGAAAAAGAGATCGCAGAGCTCGACTGACGCGGGAACGACGTGTTTGCACAAAAAGGAATGTACCTTCGCCGGAGGCACCTCGCCGTTCGCTAGAGCGCGGAAATACGCGGCGGTCCATCGTAGAAGATCGTTCGGCTGCGTGCGAATCGCCGCCTTCGCGTATAGTTTCAGAATGTGCGGGAACGTCGGTGGTACGTTTATCTGTTGAGCGCAGTAAATCCGCTTGGTCTGCGAATCTGACATTGTGCGCGCGTGTTCACTCCAGCTCGCACTACTCACAGAAGAAAAGACGAGAGTGAAGGCCAAGACAAGCGGAAGCGACAAGAGACGAACGAGACTCGACGCGTGGAACGATTCGATTGATTTGCACGAACCACCCTTGCTGCCGCCATACCGTTGTCATACTCCATTTTCTTTGAAAAACTGTCGATAGATATACAGGGAGCAGCGATACGAACAAGCTCTACAGTTCCGCGAATCGTGCCGAGGATCATCGTTCTCGTGATAGATAGACAGTAAATCCAATAAATTGCATAACCTTAATACGAAAACGACGATCTTTAATAAGAAAGAGAGAAAGTCTCTATTTTTCAAAGAATTTATCTTCTATTCTGTCCTAGAAAAACTATGTAATACAAATTTATATATATTTCCGACACAAAAATTTAATATAAGACTGTTAATGATATCACAATTAGTGAAGACCAAGATGAAGGATGAAAATTTCTGACTTCATTGCTGACGGAGCAAGATTCTTGATTTGTCGTGTCACAGAAAATATTATCTTAGCAGCTATTTTGCACAGAAAATCTTCAGGTTAAATAAAACAAAGATTTATCTGAACATGCATGATTTGAAGGAGAGATAATGAGTTATCTAATAAACAATCTATATTTATGTAAATATTGTATCTTAATCCGAAGCCAAGATATTGTATCTTAAGCCTCTTTATATTTCGTAGAAAATTCTCGCTAAAGTCCTCCGCAGGGAATTTAACACATACTTTCAGCGTTCTGCAATAACTACGATCGATAAAACATTGAAAACATACTTTATTTTATGAGACATGTCGGACTTTTTAAAATGTAACAAGCCGATCGATTATTTGACTCCCACGTGCAGCTTTTAATATCTTCTCGTTCAATTTTGGCCAATTTATCACAATTAGAGTCATCATGACAATTTTATCATAAATTAATTCTATCATGACAATTTTACAATAAAATATTTTAAGCAGCGAGAGAGTCGTTTTAGCAAGTAGTTGTTTCTATTATTTTTAAACGGAAGATATTTAATCTAATATAAATATAGTTTTACAAATTAAAGCGCGTTGATTTATGTCACGTACAGAATTTTTAATTTTAAAAAATTCGTGGATAAAAAAAAATTCGTGGATAATACGAAATGTCAATGAAAAAAAATGTGAAATTCTGAGAGGATAGCGATACGCAAGTTCGCACATTCGAAATTTCGTTAATCTGAATGTCTGACCTAATAATTCGTATAATTTGGAGGTATTGATCGAGAGATACAATCATTTCAATTTGCAAAATCATTCACGGCCGTAACCTCATTGAACATACACTCTATGCACCGACAATATTTTTATAAATACGACGAAAGCTCGATGAATTATCTAGGACAATAAGACCAATACGCCAACCACCTCCGACACTCTCAATGGAATACAAATGGTACTGAGAACAAACAACAGAGATCGACAGCCCTCTGGAAATCGAACGCCTGCCACCACTAGTGTCCTCTACCACCACGTCAGAATCAATGATCGATCCGACCCCATTCCTCCCTTTGCATTATTGCGACCCTCATTCTATTACCCGTGCGTCGCGTCGGCACACATATACATTCCCGATACGGCCTCTATCGCTTTTGTCGCGAATGTCGCGATGCATAAATGAAACATTCCTATTCAGCGCACCGCTCAGGCTTCCCTGCGTTACCATCCAACATATGTTAAAAGTATTCCGAATAAGATAATGCACCTTTGGCTTTTATTCACCTCAAATTCTATCGACTTAATTACTGCACGATTTAGCAATAATTGACGGAAGAATTAAGGATTACAGATAAGATTACAGATAAGTCGATGAGAACATTAAATGTGAAAAGAATATAAAAGCAAATAAAGGAAAAATAAAGTTAATAAACTTGGTTATTATTATTGTTTAAAAGAAATCGAGGTAAAATTTCTTCGAAAGTAAAACACCAATAAATTAATATTATACTGATACGATTAAGGAAATTATTATTTTAAGAGTAAATTTGCTACAATATTAAATTATAATATGTCTTATCTTAAAATGTACTCTGCATCTATAACATTTCTATTGTTATCGGTAAAGTAATAAAGAGCTATATCTAATAAAGTGACAAGATCGAATAAGATTCTCGTTAAGACCAAATATCGGAGAGAATACAGAAGAGATTATTAATAATCATCACACTTTTAAGAGGAATAATATTGACAAATTTAAAATTAAAAAATAAAAAGATATAATCAATATAGTGTGTCAACAGACTATAATCAAAGTTTGTTATAGAAAAATTGCGATCAAATTTCCCGAATAACTGTTTGCTGTTTCCTTCTTTAAATCCATTCTCTCTCTCCCTTCCTCCTTCCTTCTCCCCCCCTCACTCTCTCTCTCTCTCTTGATATCCGGCATTTCCCTCCGGCGCACATCTCGGAGGGTAATCGCTGAAATAGTTTTCAATCGATCGATCGCCAGCCGCGGGTGCGCCGCACCGCGGAAAAAGAGCGTGCGCGCTGCCCGTCTGCCGCAATTCGCGACCGCGTTATACACGGGGGGGGGGGTCCCCCTCGTTTCGTCACGAACTCTGGCTCCGTCACGAATACACATGAATATTCGGGAGCCTTGGGTTCGAATAGCGAACGAAAGCAATTTCGTCGTCCTTCGGGAATGGCCTTGGCATGACCGCCGCGCCGCCCGCGTCGGAACGTCGGCGTCCCGCGGCATCAATCGTCTATTGAATGAAACTCGGCTGCGGGCTGCGGGTTGCGGACACGGGGGTAATAAGCGTCGTGAAATCCATAAAATCGAAGTCGCTGCCGGTATATATCACCCTTTGACATACAGCGTAAAATAAAAAAAAATGCACCGGATGGTTATTAATCGAAAGAGATGAATCGTTCCAACATCCGCTCTCTTTTTCTTCTGTCGCACCGAAACGTTTCTCGCATCGAACGGAGACTTAAGTAGCGGTCGGTACGGATGTCGGTGAACAACGAAATCGCGCGCTAATGGCGACGACGAGGGAAATTTATGTGCGTGAGAGAATTGCGAGCGTTGCTGGCTGAATTATTAGGATGATTTTGGGCGAACATTTTACTGCAGTACCATCGTTCTGCTGAGCGTTAAGCGGAAAATGAATGTCCCGCTCGCGTGCGTGTGAATATTGAAATTTTATCCCCAAGAATTTACAATTTGTACACATCGGTCGGATATTTGCACGTCCGTATACGAAAGTCGTAAGTCGAAACATAAGACGTTCCAAAGTTATTTCGGACGTCTTTCTAATAAAATGTTTCCAAAATTTTAAAACATCTCTTAAATGATTCCAAGACATTATATGTATATGTTCCCTGGCACAAATTAGACGACTCTGGCAATGTATCGTCGTTACATATGAACTAAATGGCAATGACTTCTGACTCCCTTGCTTTCGCGAACAATGCTAAAGGCGACGAGAGCCGACTTGTTCGTTCTTCGACCTGCTTTCGTGAGTTTCCGTGCAAGTAATTGCGGGACAAGTCGGTCGGCCCGGTCGACGCGGTAACTGCGTTCGCATATAAGTATACTTCCGGCGCGGCGCGGCGCCTAGCTGCAAGTATTATGGCGCTTGTGCGGCAGCGCTCCTCGTTGCATCTGATACGACAAACGACAATGAATAGGCGGCAGGCATAATGCATGCGGCTGTAACAGTTGCACGAAGCGAAACGGTGCGACTTTAATATAATTAATATAGGAAGGAGAATGCAGGAATAAAAACCAGATTAAATTTATAAAACTGCCACGTCAGAGCTTTTTTGTAAAAAGCAAATAGCAAATATATCTCTTTCTTTATTATTTTTTGTTCAGAGATGCAGTCAATAAAATATTGTTTAATCACTCCTAAATTTTGAGAATACAAACATTCAAAATATCTCTCGAAAAATTTACATTTGTGTATATTCTGTGTTAAGCTTTTCAAATGTGATTGAGTAATAAAATCTTATTTTTAACTTAAATTCACACTTGATTTTTTTCAAATAAATAAGAATTAAAAACAGGCTACAGGAGTCAACACGCAAGTTGTTAATAATGCGGAGTTATTCAATAAAGATTTAATCTAGAACGTTTCGACTCTCGGTTTGAGTCATCTTCAGCTAATATTCGGAATTAAAATTAATCAAATTTATGCATTATACAAACAGTACCTACATCGCCAAAATCTGTAGCATAACAGTCAGTGTTCAAACAAATTTGAATATGAGGCCCTGAGCAATCGTCCAACGCAGTTGCATAGCTGAGTTGAGATAATTTTTCAGCTCATATCTCCAACATGTTCACAAATCTTTTATCACATATCATAAATTCGAGGCATAAACTTATAAAACATTGCAGTTTAGAAGGCATCTTGTCATTACAACTGATCACGACCGAAGTAAACACCAGAGAGAACAGCAGGCTTGCTCAGGGCCTCATATTCAAACTTGTTTGAACACTGACTGCTATGCTTCAGATTTTGGCGATGTAGATACTGTTTGTACAATGCGTAAATTTGTTTTTATTTGATTAATTTTAATTCCGAATATTAGCTGAAGACAACTCAAACCGAGAGTCGAAACGTTCTAGATTAAACCTTTATTGAATAACTTCGCATTACTAACAACTCGCGTGTTGACTCCTATGACCTGTTTTTAATTCTTATTTATTTTAATAAAAGGAGTCTGACTAAATTTTTAACTTACATTTTTTATGTAGTTGATTATTTTGTTGTTTTTTTCCAAATAATTTTAACTCAAATATTAATTATTATAATAACACTAACATATTCATCGTTAAAGGCTTATGTCGAGGAAAAAGTTATTTATAAAACACTTAATATCAAAATTAAAATCATTATTGTTTCGGCATTACATAATTTAGGCATTTACAAACTAGTTGAAAAACTGAATTTTAATTTTAATGTTTGTTCTAACTTGTAAAAAACATACATTACTGAGGAAGATGAACGAATTAAGCCATTAACATAATTA